TGCGGGGTTATTACGTATTGCTATAAAGTCATGTGACCAACGCTTGGAAACGTTGCACCGAATGCACCGATTATCATGATGATCTGTTTGAAAGCTTCTGTTCTGACCTTAAAGGTTGAATGCTGAATACAATGCTGAAAATCACATTGTCGTGTCTTGACTTGACGTTGGGAATGTATGTTCGCGCTTCTACACAATGACGTTAACACTCTATATAATTACAAAGTTTGACATGTTGACGTGGGATGTTCCTTGTTTGACGTGATTAATGGACAGGGATACCTTTTGTGATTAGTGGGTAATGTTTGTGACACCGTGGACCACCAGGTTTACCTGCACTGCATTGTGAATACCGCAGACTGAGCAGGATCTTGTGTCATGTTAATATGGGGAAACCCAGTTGTGGGAAATATTTCGGTTGACACCTTAAAACCTGCACACACGCAACAAGAATGGACACGTGTTTGAATTTGTGCAGACCATTTTGAACTTACTTTGTTCATAAGATTTTACGGGTGTTTGAGGGTGGGGGTGGGGTGGGGTGCCAAGGTGTGTGTGTGTTGTTGTTCACATTGTACATGCTTCTCCATAAAAATCATTAACCTCCGTAGCTATATACGTTATGAACGGTCCCTTACCATATATGGCGTTACAGAAGCCCAATTGTACGCGTGACGTCTACGAGGCCCACAACAGTTTACTATAACAGAAGCTTCGCGTATCTGTGTCTCACATATGCTTGTATACTACTCTGTATTTTTAAGATAAAACAAATAAAACATGCTGGGTCATGACAAGTATATGATTTTCTAATTTTAAATACTTTTGACATTACATAGCTTTATAAGTTGCAGTATAATGATTTTAAGGTATCGCTTAAAATATGTGTATCGCAGTGCTAATCACGTCAAGAATAAGATCTTGTGACCTGTGTGCTATGAGGTGGTGCAAGACAAGGACAGTAAGGACATGTCACTGAAACAACTACTACACGAATATACAATACACCTGAGCTTTGATCTCAAAATGATACAAAAATAGGTTAACGGCGATCTGTCGACATATTATGAAACTGTAAACCTGTTAGGCTTTAGAAGACATGTGACAGTCGCATCGAAGGCCAACAGCGATTGAACTGTGTCTAGGTGCGTGATTGAATAACTATGGCGTGTGGTCTCCGGGCTATGTACGAACACAAAACAACAGCACACAATGAGGGCTTATTCTGCTCTCTCGCGTGGAAGATCAATCTACAAAGTGTATGTTCAAATTCATGCAGCGGATTTTAAATACCCATAAGGGGTTATCATGATAGTGAATGGAGTTTGAGGACGCATTTTACCTGCAATTCAATACAGTTAAGAAGGCACGGCAGACGGAACAAAAAGTCACCCAATGAAAAGACCGACAACTGTATAGCCGTAATATAACAACCCTGCGCTCACCCCAGTTGTCAAACTGAAAATACGTTGGTCTGAATCGGTGTTCAGTTACTCTTCCTGTATTTCTTTGTCTCCGGTACCTTGTGGAAACAACCATGATTCTTGCTTGGATATGTGTTGTGGTTTTCATGCTTCCCGTCACATTTACATATAATGGAATTTCCATGAATGTAATTGTTCATGGACTCGGCCCCCAGAAAAAAGTTTCTGGCGTGGGGAAAACCGGTAAGTTAAGTTTTATGTCTTTGCTACAGAGTACCAGTATTAGCATGGTGTATTAAAGGTAGATGTTATAAGGAGTAAACATTAACTATGCAGTTTGCTTACTTCGTCATGTTCATTCTAATTTAGATCAGTGTTCAATGTCATTGTGCAGCATACGGATTCATGTTTGACAGAAGCAGTAGAGTAATCATTTGTGAAACTCATGTTAAAGAGTTGCCCATTTCCAATTTTAAGTTTGCACCTGCCCAATTGAGATGGTGCTCGTACATATATGAAAGAGCCTAAAGCAGACATATCTTGTGTAACCTATCAAAGTTATTATGTTGAGGGCTGTATTTGGTATTCAGCTTTATGTGTCAAATTGGAGGAAAAGTACATACTACGATAGAAGTTCTATAATGTAAATCCATTTCAAGATATGTTTAACTAGTGTAGGTACTATGCAAAGTCACTTATGTCTACAAAAAACTACAAAACTGTAGATAATAAAAATCCAGTGATCAACATTATGACGAAAATACACACGCACGCACGCACGCACAATCAAAACGCATGCATGCATACATACATACATACATACATACATACATACATACATACATACTAATGTATATAGTTTGGAAATGTTTATCTAAGGTATTCAGTAGGTAACAACACTCCCAAAGTGCACGCAAACTCATACAACTCCTTCTATTTTTCTTTGTTTTTTCTTTTCTGCCAACAGCAGCATTTAATCTCATTAAAATAATTCTTGCAGGGTTGACTTTGAACTGTACACTGTGGGGAACAAACCGTAAGTCTAACACACATCGTCTCCCGAGGATATAAATATTCAGGTTGTATTTCAGTGTACATTATGTTTCGGGTGGTAATTTGATTGTACAATAAGAGCGAAGAATGCTGAATTTTCCCTTTACAGTATTAACATTACAACGAAGTATCTAACTCAATCGTATTCTTGGAAAATAACAGTACCATTCGTGTGAATACATCAATAAATTGATAGGCTATTTGTAGATGTATATGTCAATAACATGTTATCGTTGTATTTTACTTGCATAGAAAACTCGTATAAAACTAAACATATTTCAGAACTCGCTAAATACTTATAATCATACACTACTTGTTGTGCCATGAATATTATTAATATCAACTTTAATATTACATGTTACGTACATCCAGGCAGTTGCAGCATGATGACTGTATCACATCAGTTGTCCAAATCTAATCTAAGAATTCCTGAGTGGCCAAAAACTAATGGAAGCAACTAAACTTGCCATCTTTGCTTCCTCTTTGCAATAATACCAACTGAAACTGGCGAATTATTATTATTATTATTTTTATACACTTAACTTTGCCCCAGTATTGATTAGTTACATCACCTCATGGACTAGGGGTAATCTATGATGTTCGCTGTCACATGTTTGACATCGATATGAATAAGCTTTTGCGTAGTTCATTTGTGGTGTATAAGCAGTCATGTGGCTAAAATATTGTCTGAAAAGCTTCTTGAAAACCACACACATACTGTACTGGCCGTGATTTTTCGACCACGACATAAAACAACATTCAGTCAGTTGCTGTGTTCATATAGGCTGCGTGGGCAGTATTCCTCAACATCTCCAGGGTGACTCACCCAGCAGATCCTCCGTCGTCCTTGTCAGTGAGTGGACAGCTCATTCCTGACCGAAAAAAAACAGGAGTCCTCAGATCACCATCGAATGGGAATGGGAAGGTATGGGGTTTGTTTTGTCGAATATGCCGCTGATTTTAAATCCACAGAGTTACAAGAATTTTATTCTAAATGTTCAATCAATCACTCTCCTATTGTCTGATGATATGTGGTGGTCGGACATTTGTCACGACACAATGTGTCCTTGTCTTCTTCCATTGCGAGCTCTCCCTCTCTCCCTCTCTCTCTCGTTATACATATACTGAATAACATTAGAAACACACCATACTAAAAATGCACCGACGATGCTCAGATATCATGGGTACAGTTCTGTCTGACGGGGATATTTCGTATTATATGGGTGGTGCGTTTCTATTGTTGTTCAGTATATATAATATATCTTCTCTTTGTCTTACTCTCGCTCTCTCTCTCGTGCTTTCTCTCTCTCTCTTTCATTTCACTGCGAATCAAACTTTAACTGACTGCTTGCATTTTTCAGGCGCTGGAACTGGCCATCTTGAAGGATTCCTTCTCCATATATACACACACGTATAACCTCACGGACAACAGCTTACATACCATCTGCAGGATATTTGATTTAACTGGTTCTTCTTTTTACTGCAACAGACAACAAGGTAAATATCCATGTTGTCGATCTTGCTATTTCTGTTCACAATCATTCATCACAATGTATGTTTTTCTCTTCAGTATATCTATGAAATACATTAATTCTCGAAAAGCCATGTTTAGATCATTACCAAAACACAAGATATCCTCTTGCAGATTCATCTCATCACCTGGATATATTATGAGATGACTAAAGCTTTTGTGTGTGTCACATCGGTTTCTAACGGATGTTTCAGTTGACATTTCAGAAGAAGCTGATCGGATTCTCTGGGGTTCCAATCTGCTGCATCAACTGGATCTAACATCTCTTCCACGCCACTCTCACCAGATGTCAGACTGACCAAGTTCTTCACACTGCAGCCGGTTCAAAGTATGTAATCAAACCCTGGGTCATATCATCAAGCTAGAACTAACATAGAAATGGTGACACGATTTATCAGTGTTTGAGAGCAGCTCTCCAAAGTGCGAGAGTCCGAATTGAACAGAAAAACCCTTTGGTATAAGTTACAATGAATTGAGTAGCACAGCATGCAGGATGTCATGGGCGAATGATCTTAAAGTACTGTCACTGTCTGTGTTGCATACAGCATGCCTTTAAAGAAAATGATAACAGCAGTGCTGTATAGAGAGTTCATGAAAGAAACAAATTACATTCTTGGGTGTCTTATTGGTCTGGTAGAAACATACAGCATCATAGTGGGTCTCTGAACTGATTATCAGTAAGAATATTGAATTGCTATTGTCACTGTTTAGTGTTATGCTCAAGGTCATGTTGAATTGTGTTTTCACGTTAACAGGAATATCTATTCCCAACTCATCCCCGGATCACAGTGAGTCCTCGTTGATCTTGTGGCATAAACCTCATATGTGTTCCTGTCAATATACTTTGATCAAATTCACGAGCTGATTGAACTAATGATATCATGCCCGACAACTAACAAAACCGTCTTAATATATCTTTCATATAAATGGTGTCCTAGACTCAAGGTGACACAGGCACTGGATTGTATTTGTTTCCAGTGGGAATAGTAATTATGTTTTCTGGGTTGACAGCATAAGCTGTTAATATGAACGTTATCTCATCATTTCTCTCTTTTGTTCATTTCATTTTACCAATTTAATTAGATACAGCGTGGTATAGGTAACAATTCGTATCTGTTTCAGAGGGAATAGTAATACCTGCAAGGAACTGGATCCCGTTTTATCCTATGACGAGGTGAACTACACTGCACCTGCAACTATCGAGGCCAGATTCAGCCTAGCACTTCCGACATATGGCTTTGCCAGACAATACACTGTGATGCTGGTATTGAAGAATGACAGTCTCAATGCAGAGAGAAATGCATTATCTCGATTGATTCTAGTTACTTTTGCCAAGGCACGGTGAGTTGTATATATATATTTATTATTTTTTTATTATTTAATTCATTTTATTGTTTGTTTGTCAAGCTCGCACAATACTTCAGTTTTACTAGCGATACCAATATGTTAAAAATAACGTGTCGGGACATGACAAACTGGTTCAGTCCCGATTTTTACAGTCCCAATGTTGACAGTGAAATTTCACATTTCTGTAATTGATCTAGCCAGTTGTCCCAATTTTGAAAGTGAGCATACCAGTCGTCCCAGTTTTGACAGTCCTCGGCTCACAATCAATCCTGGATTTGCCAGTGAATGTGGGAGCTACTGTAACAGAAGCGTCAGATACGACTAAAAACTAAGACAAAAAGCAAAACCACTAAAACTAAAACAGTTAACTTTTGAAAGTCAATCACTTCAAAGTCACCAATCACTAAGCAACACTGCCAGCCAGCACACTGACACAGAAGAGATATGACGCCATAACTCTGTCACATGTCATGTATTCCACACCAAGTTGTTGCAAAGTTGCTGAAGCATGTTCCACACGACGCCTCTTTATCTGTTTCTGCCCACCTTGCAGTGCATGATATACACTTCTTTGTTGGAATGTTCTTGTTTGGAAAGTGAAATAAGTTCATACACATTAAGATGGCTCTTCTGGGCCCTGTTTGACAGTCTGCTGTTGGAACCCTCCTAAGAGTTGTTGGTACGTGGTGTCTCTGCCCTGAAGAGATACCAGATGGTAATTGGGAAATGTCCGTTAACCAATCAATCAATCAATCAATCAATCAATTCATTTATTGTCAAAAAGAACCATAAACGGTGGTACAGGAGAAAAAAAATAATTCGTACTTTACATGATGGCGGTTACATTGTACAGATAAATATAAGAGCCGCATCAGAAATTCTGTACTCATATATACAATCACACACTCGAAGGCACTTGTCTATTATACAGATGATTTGTGCAAGGTCTTGATATCTTTTATAGTTCTACTACTCAACAATTTTGTGTACGTTTTCATATTAGGGAACTGTATGCATTTATTTGGGATAAATTTGAATCTGCATTCATAAAAGCTTCAATAGTGGAATTCATCAGCTATAGCTGGCGACATACACAGTTTACATGTCCTAAATTCTCTCTATGACAAGCCAACGGCCAACCTCGACAGGCAGATTATAGTTACAAGTTCTGTATTTCAGGAAATCCAAGTGTCTTTGAAATACTTTGATGAAGGCCTCACATGCAGGCATATCAGTAGGTATGTTCTCAGAAACAACGTCAAACCCTTTCGGTACAGGCAGGAAGACTAACTAATACACACTCGAAACCATCTTTGGACATCTTCACGAGACTGGCAGAAAGACGCGAGTCCTAATTTCTGATTATTCCTGTAAAGAGCTAGACCAAAATGAAAAAGAAGGCCCTTCAAGATGGCAGTGGGGAACACATCTCTAGGGTTGACGTCATGAGTGAGTGAGAAAACTAAACTACGATTATAAACTGGCGTTGATGCTGAGATTTTGCCATTTATTAAAAAACACAAAAATTCTAAGATTAAAAACCTGGTACACTTAAATTGACTTGAAATGTTTTGGGACTTACGTACCCTCTCAGGAGGAAAATAATGTTACGCTTCTTCAGCCCCTTTGAGGTACAGCCACTAACAATCTCAGTTATTAATTTAAACTACCAATAATAAAATATATATATATTTACAAATCACTTAACAAATCTAATTCTTTTAAAATGCAATAATTAAAATGACAACTGACATTCTTAAAAGATCCTTCATAGTTCGTGATTTGAAATAGTTATCCCTTGTGGTGGAATACTCAACACAGTCAAGTCAGCCCATTTACAACTGTGTGCAGTATAAAAGATAGTTGTGGAATCTATTTGAAATTACAATTGGATATGTCGTTTCTAAGAAGACATTTCAATGGTGTATGTATTGTGACCAAACCGGACAGGTTTATTCTAGCATTCTTCCTCGAGGAAAATGACCACAAATCGAACTTAACTAAATTTACTTCCTTATTGCAGTTTGACATGCCTGTTCAGGTTCAGTGGGTATGCCATTTCAAGCAGCGTTAGATCTGGCGTTAAGTTACCGTCGACTTCCCTTTGCTATCGTCCGGTATTGTGATATGAGATTTATGGATGGTTTCTCAAAGAAATCTAACAATTACTAGACTGCGTTGTGTATCTCACTGACACTGTATGGGATCATCGCTCTGTGTTAGTACAATGGATGTCTTTAGCAGAATATAACTGATTTCTATCACAGTTTGCTCTTGCAGGCGCAAGGTGTCATATTTCACTTGTGAAATATATTTGCACGTTTAACATCGTTACCTGTCAGTGGATCAGAATGAGTAAAGATAAACGTTCTGAAACATCCACACGACATCCCGGCAGGAACAGTGTCACTTGTAAAATTCCGACTGTTATGAAAATGTTTGAATCCCTATCAAATAGTGATGGTACCAGGTATTCGCGAAAAGGTGCCCTGCCATGCCTTACTTTAGGCACCTATCATAAATAAGCACATATAAAAGACATATTGCACCTGTCCATTCCCCAAACAACAAGAAATGTTAAAGTCAAAATAATCAATTTATTTCATCAGACATAATTTTGTTACAAATGCATTAAATTTGTAAAAACAATTCACCTGTCTACTGCAAACCTTTTGGGAAGCTTTGCTGAGGCCTTGACTTGTGTACTCTTGACTGGACACCTTGTAAGCAGGATTCATGTGACGCTCTTAGAAATCCTGGAGCTGTTCGAATACTGCTCGACATCAAGTGAAAGTTGGCATTTATCCCCCTGTCACACAACAGAGGTGGTTGCCACACAGAATGGTTATGATCTAAATATGAATACAAGAGACCTTATCACTCTTATAAGATCATATGGGTAATCAGGTGGAGGGAATAGACGGTTTCCAGCAGACATTCATGTGCGTAAAGAAACAGGCCGGCATGGAGGGATGCTCAATTAGTGCCCAAAAGGCGTTCGAGGGTTTACAGTAAAAAGTTTCTCTTGAAACAAATATGGTAAATACTTCTTTTTCTTGGATGATAGAACCAGTTTGTCTCTTGCTGAGATATGATACTGTTATTTCATTTCCAGGAATTTGATCCTCCTTCACAGAATGAGTCGACAGTCTTGGCATCCTTCAGTGATATTGCAGCTGGACAATACACCATTCATGTATGTATTAAAACAGTCATGAATAACTGCAGTTACAATTACCAAAATGTGTATTTAGAGGTCGATGATACTCACTGGTGATATTGTGTTGTCGTTGATGACAAGGACGTGGACGGGTGACGGTTGATGGTGGTGACGATGACGAGGGCGAGGACGATGATGAGCACTGGGGCGAAGACATATGATGATAAGCATGAGAACGAGGATGACATATTTGCTCCCTCTTTTCAGATACAGCCTGAAGATCCCTATAGACAGGATGACGACCGGTGTTTATGCCATTCCGCGGCTAATGACGTGAGACAATGTCAGTTTTGTCTCGATACATCTTCTGCTGTGTTTACTGTTGGTAAGGTTACATGTATACCGTGTGAATGAACATAAATGAAATATGTTTGTCTCTCAAAAAATGCTGTTGCTGACTGAAATGTAGCTCTAAGGAGAACGCTATCAAACGTTTGGTGGCGAAAATATGTAATCACAATTGTCGGGTCGACCAAAATGTTACTGTTGAAAATTCAAACATACTTACTGAGGTGTCATCTCTCTTTTTACGAACTACCTCTTTCGTAAAAGCGAATCATCAGTCAGCCAAATGCACATAATAAAAAATGAGCTTTTATGCATCTTTATTTCAGTTGCCAATACAGACATCAACAACACGACGACGTTACCGGTGGCAACAACGACTACTGAAACAGGTGCCGTCACAACGGATTTTTTCTCAGTAAACTATAATAATTCTTACCGTATGCAGCTGAATGCGCATGCAATTTGTGAATTACCCCGACTTCAAGATATACATCCCATCTGCCACATCCTGCAATTGCCTACCACTGAACAAGATACAGATGCTACGAAATGCTAGTCTTCTCTCTTTTCGTTCCATAATAGTAGAGGTTATACATTTATACATGATATGATATATTAACAAATGCTCTTGCTGTTAGTGTACTGCATCAACCAACCTTGTCCATAATGAATTTTTGAATGCACCTCATATTAGAAATTTAGAAAGAAACATGACCACATTATGCAATAATGCTGGAATATACCTGTCACGAGGTATTGTAAGTAATCAACTTGACCAAACAATCTAGTGACGCCAAACTTGCAATCCATGTCATCGGTTCTCGAGTGCGTGAGTATATGTTTGAGATGCATTCAGCATTATTCCAGTAACATAGACTTGTGAAACTCCAGAAGGGCAAGGTTTTAACTACTGGGCCACCCTGTCTGTGCTAGGTGATATGATAGCCACATAATGATCGGCTATATGACACAGGAACCCACTTATAACTTTTGTTCTTTTTTTTAATAACTTGATTTTCGGGAATTTATTGACGATGTAAGAACAATCAAATAATGGCTAGTTTTCTAGCCTCGGTCAGAAGGTCTCACTTCTACCTCAACCCTTTCCCTGTCAACCTTGACTACGACACAAGGTTTAACGAATTATAACCATATCGCATGTAAACGTATGTTGCTATTATCACACCGATTTAACCAAGATCATTATGTTGTCTGTGTCCTTCCGCCAACACAGACGGTAGCTAGAATCAAATATGGCTACAGTGCTAGATAGGGAATACATGTTTAATTTATATGCACTTGCAAACTTCCTTTATTGCTTCGGTTATCGTGGTCTCTCTCGGGCTCTTTGTTGAACAACATGAGCATTTTTATTTTGTTGTACTCACTTTGATAAGGCATTAAATGGCAATCTTCACCGACGGGGTAAAGTATTGATTGTGTAAACACCGAAATCGATGTGTTGGTCCACCTGAGGTGTACGCAAAGCAAATCACTGTACAGAGTTGCCTACCCTGTCCGTTTTAAGATCCGCTGATCGCTGATTCGAATTCCCATTCCTCAATCGCCCCAATGACATCAATCGCCTTTTGTGTCATTCCAGTTTCAACAACCAATGCCACAAATACAACAACGTCATCGGGGCTATCTACGTCTACCTCAAAGGTATGGAATATTCAGAACCAGCCTTCTGAATCGCGGGCCGGAGGCCCGGTGCCGGTTGTTATTGTGTCGGGCCGGCAATTTCAAATATTTGCAGGCCCTTGTGGCCTTGAGTCAATTATGTCTTTTTTTTCAACTTTAATTATTCCCATAATTGTTTTCTTTATTAACGCTCGGAACCATCCATGTTTCAATTCCTGGTATTTCAGCTTTGCGCCTAGGAATGTCAACACCAGTCTTTAACGGATAAAAACTTGTCTCAGTGCTAATTGATTTTGTCGAAACAGTGTGAAACTGTGTACAGTATAGTCTAATTTGTGTTTATTGATTTGACTTCAACAACATGGGCCCTGCAGATTTCATTCCGGGCCTATAGATTTGAAAGTCTGCAGGCGGCAGCAGGCCCTGATGGCCAACTGGCACATGAAAGTATTGCAAACACTGTTCAGAACTACTTTGATTTTCTTCTGATATTCACTGAGAATTGATGGATTATTAAAAATTAACATGCATCGTTTTCTACAGTTCTAGTCTCAAGTACGGAATACACAAAATCAGAGACTCTGCCTGTTCCTTCTTCACAAGGTAAGGACATGGAACAATCCATCAGTTCATGTATATCGTACTCTTGCTGTTAATGTACTGCATCAACCAACCTTGTCCATAATGAATTTTTGTATGCACCTCATATTCGAAATTTAAAAGAAACATGACCACATTGTGCAATAATGCTGGAATATACCTGTCACGAGGTATTGTAAGTAATCAACTTGACCAAACAATCTAGTGACGCCAAACTTGCAATCCATGTCATCGGTTCTCGAGTGCGTGAGTATATGTTTGAGCTGCATTCAGCATAATTCCAGTAACATAGACTTGTGAAACTCCTGAAGGGCAAGGTTTTAACTACTGGGCCACCCTGTCTGTGCTAGGTGATATGATAGCCACATAATGATCGGCTATATGACACAGGAACCCGCTTATAACTTTTGTTCTTTTTAATAACTTGATTTTTCGGGAATTTATTGACGATGTAAGAATAATCAATTAATGGCTAGTTTTCTAGCCTCGGTCAGAGGTCTCACTTCTACTTCAACCCTTTCCCTGTCAACCTTGACTACGACACAAGGTTTAACGAAATATAATCGTATTGCATGTAAACGTATGTTGCTATTATCACACCGATTTAACCAAGATCATTATGTTGTCTGTGTCCTTCCGCCAACACGGACGGTAACTAGAATCAAATATGGCTACAGTGCTAGATAGGGAATACATGTTTAATTCATAAGCACTTGCAAACTTCCTTTATTGCTTCGGTTATCGTGGTCTCTCTCGGGTCTATTTTGAACAACATGAGCATTTTATTCTTTTTGTTGTACTAACTGTGATGAGGCATTAAGTGGCAATCTTCACCGACGGGTAAAGTATTGATTGTGTAAACACCGAAATCGATGTGTTGGTCCACCTGAGGTGTACGCAAAGAAAAATCACTGTACAGAGTTGCCTACCCTTTCCGTTTTAAGATCCGCTGATCGCTGATTCGAATTCCCATTCCTCAATCGCCCCAATGACATCAATCGCCTTTTGTGTCATTCCAGTTTCTACAACCAATGCCACAAATACAACAACGTCATCAGGGCTATCTACGTCTACCTCAAAAGGTATGGAATATTCAGAACCAGCCTTCTGAATCGGCAGGCCCGGAGGCCCGGCGCCGGTTATTATTGTGTCGGGCCAGCAATTTCAAATATTTGCAGGCCCTTGTGGCCTTGAGTCAATTATGTCATTTTTTTAACTTTAATTATTCCCATAATTGTTTTCTTTATTAACGCTCGGAAACCATCCATGTTTCAATTCCTGGTATTTCAGCTTTGCGCCTGGGAATGTCAACACCAGTCTTTAACGGATAAAAACTTGTCTCAGCGCTAATTGATTTTGTCGAAACAGTGTGAAACTATGTACAGTATAGTCTAATTTGTGTTTATTGATTTGACTTCAACAACATGGGCCTGCAGATTTCATTCCGGGCCTATAGACTTGAAAGTCTGCAGGCGGCAGCAGGCCCTGATGGCCAACTGGCACATGAAAGTATTGCAAACACTGTTCAGAACTACTTTGATTTTCTTCTGATATTCACTGAGAATTGATGGATTATTAAAAATTAACATGCATCGTTTTCTACAGTTCTAGTCTCAAGTACGGAATACACAAAATCAGAGACTCTGCCTGTTCCTTCTTCACAAGGTAAGGACATGGAACAATCCATCAGTTCATGTATATCATTACTCTTGCTGTTAATGTACTGCATCAACCAACCTTGTCCATAATGAATTTTTTGTATGCACCTCATATTCGAAATTTAAAAGAAACATGACCACATTGTGCAATAATGCTGGAATATACCTGTCACGAGGTATTGTAAGTAATCAACTTGACCAAACAATCTAGTGACGCCAAACTTGCAATCCATGTCATCGGTTCTCGAGTGCGTGAGTATATGTTTGAGCTGCATTCAGCATAATTCCAGTAACATAGACTTGTGAAACTCCTGAAGGGCAAGGTTTAACTACTGGGCCACCCTGTCTGTGCTAGGTGATATGATAGCCACATAATGATCGGCTATATGACACAGGAACCCGCTTATAACTTTTGTTCTTTTTTTTTAATAACTTGATTTTTCGGGAATTTATTGACGATGTAAGAATAATCAATTAATGGCTAGTTTTCTAGCCTCGGTCAGAAGTCTCACTTCTACTTCAACCCTTTCCCTGTCAACCTTGACTATGACACAAGGTTTAACGAAATATAATCGTATTGCATGTAAACGTATGTTGCTATTATCACACCGATTTAACCAAGATCATTATGTTGTCTGTGTCCTTCCGCCAACACGGACGGTAGCTAGAATCAAATATGGCTACAGTGCTAGATAGGGAATACATGTTTAATTCATAAGCACTTGCAAACTTCCTTTATTGCTTCGGTTATCGTGGTCTCTCTCGGGGTCTATTTTGAACAACATGAGCATTTTATTCTTTTGTTGTACTAACTGTGATGAGGCATTAAGTGGCAATCTTCACCGACGGGGTAAAGTATTGATTGTGTAAACACCGAAATCGATGTGTTGGTCCACCTAGAGGTGTACACAAAGAAAATCACTGTACAGAGTTGCCTACCCTTTTCCGTTTTAAGATCCGCTGATCGCTGATTCAATTCCCATTCCTCAATCGCCCCAATGACATCAATCGCCTTTGTGTCATTCCAGTTTCTACAACCAATGCCACAAATACAACAACGTCATCGGGGCTATCTACGTCTACCTCAAAGGTATGGAATATTCATAGAACCAGCCTTCTGAATCAGGCCCGGAGGCCCGGTGCCGGTTATTATTGTGTCGGGCCAGCAATTTCAAATATTTGCAGGCCCTTGTGGCCTTGAGTAAATTATGTCATTTTTTTTTAACTTTAATTATTCCCATAATTGTTTTTTCTTTATTAACGCTCGGAAACCATCCATGTTTCAATTCCTGGTATTTCAGCGCTTTGCACCTAGGAATGTCAACACCAGTCTTTAACGGATAAAAAATTGTCCCAGCGCTAATTGATTTTGTCGAAACAGTGTGAAACTATGTACAGAATAGTCTAATTTGTGTTTATTGATTCGACTTCAACAACATGGGCCTGCAGATTTCATTCCGGGCCTATAGATTTGAAAGTCTGCAGGCGGCAGCAGGCCCTGATGGCCAACTGGCACATGAAAGTATTGCAAACACTGTTCAGAACTACTTTGATTTTCTTCTGATATTCACTGAGAATTGATGGATTATTAAAAAATTAACATGCATCGTTTTCTACAGTTCTAGTCTCAAGTACGGAATACACAAAAACAGAGACTCTGCCTGTTCCTTCTTCACAAGGTAAGTACATGGAACAATCCATCAGTTCATGTATATCGAACTCAAATATCATCCAGTCTTAATCTGAAACCAAACTGACTATAAAAGCAGATTGAAATCTAATTGTTCAGTTTATTGCGTGTTTTCATAAATCACGCATTCTCGCCGTATAACATGACAAACTTGGTTGACATATTTCAGTACATGCTATAACTTCGAACGGTGAAATTGCTGTCCGTGGAAACTGCTCTCGAGATTATCCCCTCAACCGCTTGCCGTATGGGGTAAACCGGTATGCAAATTTGATTACTCTTCTATATTCTATATGACGAGTTGGATTAAATCTTAATTTTGGGTGATTATATAAAATGAAGAGAACAGTCTTGGATTTCATCTCCCATGAATTTCTCTTAGTACAAATGTATATCAAACTGAATTTAATGATGAAAAGAACATTTTGTATGTTATGACATTTTCTCGATGTGTTTGTAAATATTTAGGCAGCAGTCAATGATGGTGTAAGCTGAACATGCAGAATTTAGCTTATAACCTATTAGCCATTACTCTTTTGTGAACCACACAAACGATTGATTGGTCGGTCCGGACAGAAAAGCATACGCCAGTTTTGCACTAATGATACTACATCTTTTTTTAGTGTTAGTGGGTGGACACGTATAGTTTGTACAAATTTTGTATTTGATTTTAAAATGAAACATCCTTTTTCTCCATTGTGTTGTAGAGACCTCCTTTGACTGCACCTTATGGAACACTGAGCGTAAGTTCCTTCTGATAAGCCTTATCTTATAACAGTGACTAGTCTAATCATATGAGCTGTTATTGTGGAAACCATTATTATATTTGTTCCATTGCAATGGCATTGTGAAGTGAAGAATAAATTTGCATCCCCTTTAAATATGCCAAAATTTAGCCCTCTTCACCCTGCACATTGGTGTTTCTATATATCACCATATGGAACACTGAGCGTAAGTTCCTTCTGATAAGCCTTATCTTATAACAGTGACTGAGTCTAATCATATAAGCTGTTATTGTGGTATTCATATGAACACTAAGTCAGCCTTTCAGTAATTTAGGTGCATTGAACATGCACAGAGCACTCCATGTAGGACTTAGTTGTCGCCACGGATCCCAATTTACTCCCAGCAATAGGTAGAATGAATCATCGACATTGGGGCGGTGGGGTAGCCTAATGGTTAAAGCGTTGGCTCGTCACGCCGAAGACCCGGGTTCGAATCTCCACATGGGTGCAATGTCTGAAGACCATTTCTGGTGTCCCCGCCGTGATGTTGCTGGAATATTGCTAAAGCGGCGTAAAACCAAACTCCAGTCAGTAGACATTGCCCACAGAGGACCTTGTGTTACCACAATACGACTGTTTGAGATGTGGTCGATTTATCGCTGTGCTCTTTGTCTGCCTCGGCTATTGACAGGCTGCCTATAACCTAATGTTGTTGTGATAAAGCCTTTGTTACAGACAGAACATGGAACAGCAATGCAACATATATATGATTGGTTGTGTGTGTTAATTTGGTGTGACGCCGCTTAATCTGAAGCCAAATAATCTGAATCTTTAAGTTATTGTATCATTATGTATCAGCGAATATTTAACGGACAATACCAAGGCTCATAATAAATGCACATCTCTTAATGAAAAGCATTGCAAAAGGATTGAAAGATGATGACACTCTTCAGAGCCAGAACGCTTGAGTAACGAATAAATGGCAACGCATGTTAAGTCGTGTTTGAAGTGAATTGCAACACAATGCAAGCTGTTCTGTATTCATACCTCTCGGATACGGGAGCCGTGTCAACTTATAGTCTGTTTGGCTCAAAAGCGGACCGATGAATGGCAATCTAACTCGAAGACTAATAAAACATAAAATACTCAATGAAACGCTGATCATAATCAAAACATCATACCCACTCTGTGAGGTTTTTGCATATATTTTGTCCTAAAATAAAAAGTTGTTTAACAATCTATCATTAAAATATTGACACAGTTCACTATTTGTTACGAGGGAGGAGTGCAGAGAATCAGACAGCCAGGCGTTCGAGAACGGACGGAGACGGCACAGTACGGGTTTATGAATAAATAACTTTGTCTGTGAACGTGTGCTTCTCGAACAAACCTGGCTGTCCTTTATTATTCTGCATTTGAGTGGGGATGTTATGTTTATTAGTTTTCGAGTTAGATTGCAATTCATCGGTCCGCTTTTGAGCCAAAACGGACTGTACACGTGAATGCACCTGATCTTGAATACCAGTTGTCCGGCTTCCAGTTCTGTGAACAAGTCAGTGGCTGAGTGGATGAGGATTGTAGAATGTTTGTTGGCTATTTCTTTAGCCTGGTTTTCAGAATGTGGGATGGCATGGAAGACGGGGATTGAACCCCTTCGAAATACTAGAATCTGCAACGAAGCGTAGTCCAGATATAACACTAAATACTTCATGCAGGTAATTGCATCCTTATGTGTACTCTTGCTTCATTGTTGTACAGGATGCAACGGCAGTCTCCCTCCGCATCTAGAAGGCAACAATTCGGCAATTCCACCATCATCGTTGTCAGTGAGGGGAGCCCTTATCAGAGACCCAAAAAACAACAGCTGTCCTCAGATTATCATAACATGGTCAACAGCGAATAACGGTAATTTGGTTATCAATACATATTTACAATCTTACTCCGAATGTTTGAAGGGCTTTTAGAAGTGGAATACATCAGAAAGCAAGAATTATGGATGTCAACTTCTTTATTGTGAATGTTCACACAAAGAAGTTGACATCCATAATTCTTTGCTTCTTTATCTTTTTCTTCAATTCGTATGCGAAACAAACATAATGGTTTTTCGGAAGTGTTCATTTTCTAGACTCTACAATTCGTTATGCGTCACGTTGAGATCCGGGTTCGATTCCCCATGAACAATGGTTTTGAGGAATCTGGTCTAAAAGCGGCGTAATACAATCAGGAACATATCACCTTCCCGATCTAGTAAGCGACTCGCTGACAGGTCGTTTGATAGATCGTTCAGATTTTGGCCCTTCATGGAATGTCCTTAGACTTTTGTTATTGATAGCGAGAACTACGATCTTTTAATAATATTGAACTTGTGCCATCCGTGAGAATTCTATTTTATCAATATATGAATTTCATACAGATACAAATCTAAAACTAAGGCATTTGTGATATTCTTCGCATTTGCCAGAATACATTTTCAAGTTTTCGCCAAATATGTGTTCTGATGACTTCCATGCTCTTTATAAATATATTTGTGTATGATGTGCTCAATAATGCCTATTTAGGAACCATTGCAAGGTTCCTTTAGTTATCGATGTTTCTCCAGCTACAACACTGGATTCATCTACTCTTTGATATAAGACCCGTGAAGATCCGGGGTAGAATAGGTCTTCAGCAACCCATGCTTGCCACAAAAGGCGGTTATGCTTGTCGTAAGATACGACTAACGGGACCGGGTGGTCAGGCTCGCTGAGTTGGTTGACACATGTCATCGGTTTTCAATTGCGCAGATCGATGCTCATGATGTTGATCACTGGATTGTCTGGTCCAGACTCGATTATTTACAGACCGCCGCCATATAGCTGGAATATTGCTGAGTGCGGCGTAAAACTAAACTCACTCACTCACTCTTTGACATATTACCATTTGCCGGCATAAGTCAGAGTCAGAGGCATAAGGACGCTATAATCTCTTGTGTCCAGTGTTTTGGGTGGATTTTGTAACTGTCACGTGTAATTATCATGTTTTGGACATATCTGTGTCAGTTTAATATTGATATACTTTAATGATTACATAATTTCCTCAGTCAAAACCCTGGAAATATATTCATAGACAGAAGACGTGTGTCATAAATGATGAAGAAGTGTACACAACAAGCACTATGTCAAATTCCGTATTTGGTTTAGATGGCGTAAGGTGCTCGTCGTCGATGCGCCAGTTCGATCTGTATTGAACAATAGAAGACTCTTATTGTCTCGAACGGTGGATATCTCGTTGTTGTTTCGATGGCATCGAGTTGATGATGTTATGATATGGAGTCTTATATAAACTTGATATACGAGAGTCACACAGAGTAAGCCTTGCACCCATCACCTATGCTTGATGCCATACGAGTTCTTATATTCATCGTGTTTCAGACTCTAGGACTGACAACCTCAAAGGGTTCCTTCTTGAAATACGGAAGTACGACAGTGTAAACAACGACTCTACATTTCTCTGCAGAATACTTGATTTTTCTTCCACAAGGTTCACTGCAAGCGATGAGGAGGTACGTCCGCAAAAGATGCCTGTGCACATGGACTTCAGTTCCCAACTTGTCCAGGAAAAGAAATTAGACAAAGACAGCCTTTCTCTGGCTTTTCAATCAGAAGTCAATCCCTAGTATCTCCTCTCGTAGTATTGGTGAAATCCGTACATACTACAATACCGTGGAGCTGACACATCAAGGATCATAAGACTATGATTAGTTTAGCATTTTTTATCAAAGTTGCTTATCCGGTATTTATCGATAACCATATTGTGTTAACGATCCCTATGATCCATATTGATAGCCAGCCCTACTTTGTTGAACTTTATTTTTAAGCCCAATAAGACCGACACTTCCCAGATTAAGTTTTGGAGAAACTTTTCGAAAGAATATCTTAATCCCTAATCTGCATTGTAGGTCCTGATATGAAAATATAAACATAACCCAGAAACCGTTCCTCTTTATGAAGCCGTGTCTTACAGCTGACGTTTCAGAAGAAACTGGTTGGATTCTCTGGCGGGTCACACCTGCTGTATCAGTTGGATCTAACATCTCTTCCACGTCACTTACCAGATGTCAGACTGACCAAGTTCTTCACACTGCAGCCTTTCCAAAGTAAGGAATTTAACTTGTCCATATCAAACTAGAAATGCCTACATATGATTTCACACATGCTATCTGATTTGAGATAGCAACACTGCCTGCAAGGGTATTCTTTGGCACCACTGCTATTATTATGCTTCTGGATTGACAGCATAAGCTGTTGATATGAACGTTATCTCAACATTTCTCGCTTTTGTTCACTTTTACCAATTTAATTAGATACAGCGTGGTATAGGTAACAATTCGTATCTGTTTCAGAGGGATCGGACATATCCGCAAGTAACTGGGCGCCATTTATATCCTATGATCAGGTGAACTTCACTGCACCTGCAACTATCGAGGCAAGGTTCAGCCTAGCACCTGCCAGATATTACTTCAGCCAATACACAGTGATGCTGGTTCCAACTGGCGACAGTCTTAATGCCATAGCTACCTGCCACGTATCGTTAACATCAGTTTACAAGTGTCAGGACAGAGTGAGTTATTCAGTAGTTTATCATCTTTACGTAGTCAAACTTTAATTGACCCAGCAAAAGCAACAACTTCACCAGCGCCCGATTTGCTGATGGAATGTTACACGATAAACGATGCATAAAGGATAAATATACTATTTTATTCCCGAAACTGAAATAGGGTCGCGCAATAGGGTATACTGAATAAATCACAGATCACATATCATAAGTCAAAGATTATCATGAAATATCATAAGAAGATTTTTTATACAATGTTTTATGCTTCGATGAGTTAAATGTTTTATGACTATGGAATTGAGACTCACCGTTAATCGTATAATGATATGTGAAAGTAGCAATTATCAAAGAGGTGATTTGTTTTATCAGACAGTGTCATTGCATCAGTAGCACTACACGTACAATAATTGTACATATTAAGTTACAACAGATTTGTCAATGGGGGAGTTGGTTACAGAATTTCAGAATCGGTGGGTTCATTCGGATTGCTTTCCAGTCAACTATATAGTGGGATGCTACACGGTATATTAAAAACGTGCAGTTCAACCTAATTGCTCAGTGAACGGGGCAATGCTAGATAAGTATGAGATTGTGGCCAATGTTTATGAACCCAATGTTTATGGTAGGATGTTGGAAATCAGAACCACGTTTAACAGCGTCTCCCACGATCCCAACAATGACAATGTACCGCGGGCGTTTACTGAGGTTTCTTCATTTCAGATTGTGCAGCCTCCTTCACAAAACGACACCGCAGTTCTTGCTTTCTTCAGCAATATTTCAGCTGGAGAATACACTGTGCATGTATGTATGAATACCATTTGCTGAATCTTTTTCTGAATTTGCTGAGACAAATCTAACCCTTGAGCTGTTGTATGACCATATATCCAACAAGATGTTCGTGGTCAAGCACGTTTGTCAGAATGAGTGAGCAGTGTGTGAGAATGAAATATATGTGACGAAGCCGATATTCGGTCATTCGAAAATGATAATGAATAATATAAAGTGTGCATTATTCTGACATTTGGTTCTAGGTTTGTTTTAATTTGTTAATTTGTCTGTAATTCTGGAATATCAGCTCACTTCAGGAAACATGAAAGCATAATGCATCAGCATGTAATGGTAACATTTAGAATGTCGACACAGCACACTAGTTAGCACCGGAGATATCAAAGCAAAGCTCCTTTTACTTGTCAGATACAACCAGTAGATCCTTACAGCATGGATGACAGCAAGTGTTTGTGTTATGCTTCTGTTGCTAATGGTAACAGGATGTGCCAGGGCTGTCTCGACACGCTTACTACTATATTTACTGTTGGTGAGTGTTCTGAGTAACATAACATTGTAATTGTAAATAATATTTCATAATATATGTAAATAATATATTAGCTCTTTATTCTTGCTTTGAATATTAGAATACTAATTTCAACAAGACCACATCTCTTTCCTTGTTAGATGTTTTATTACAACCACTAGTGTAATTAACATTAATTGTATAATACATCATACTTCATTGTAATGAAGCTGATATTATCAAAAATGATTTTCAATTGCAGTACTCATTTAGGTTGTCATCGTGTCTTCATAATCATCTGCATGGTTTTCCACATCATCTTTGCAGATTATCATAAACTTTATCAAGATAATGATATATATGCATTAATATGTGCATGCATACTTATCATAACAAGTTTCATTATGTCAACATACTGTACATCTATCACTTCAATTGTATAAACTCAGAAACCCTTCATGTATATATTTCTCCGTGTGCATAATGTGGTGAATCATTTGCTTAATAACGATGTTATCCGTAAAAAGCGTCCTTCTTTACGATTCCGTTGTTTTGTTGTAGTCCAAAGTGCAACCACCACCAACACAACCGTTGTCCCAGTTGTTCCTGCTGTTCCAGTGGACCGTGTTGCCAGCATAGTAGGACCTGTATTCGGTGTTGTTATGGGAGTCATAGTGTTGGTCATACTGGGAGCTTTACGGATAAATCGTTACCTTAAAGGTGGGTCATGTTGCTTTCAAACTCGCCAAGATATGCATTTATGTATTAATATATCTTTTTCCTACATCGTCTTTTCCAACAATGCACCCTTTAACATATATTTGAAGATCTAAAGTAAATGCAACTGTGTTTCATTAATTTCTGTCAAACACTGTTCTACAGAACGTAAATATGTTGACAGTACTGTTGCCTCGAGGTAAAACATGAAGAGTTTACTTAGGTCGACTGTACATGTTTAGATATTGTTTATATATTATCAGCGGGTTGAATATAAGTAAGTAAGTTGAATATAAGTTTCAAATAGAATGGGAATATTATTTGGTGACGTAACATATTCCAAAGCCTTTGAAGAATTAATCTCAGTTGCACGAAATTACTCAAGTTACTCTTCCAGATATACACAGAAATAATTTTTTGGGTTTTGATCATGTGATTCTAAAGTTAGTTTGGTTTTTAACGCCGCACTGAGACAAGTGGACCAGACAATCCAGTGACAGACACTATGACCATCGATCTACGCAATTCGGATACAATTGCATGGGTTAAACAAGTCAGCGAGCCTGACCAACCGTTCCCCTTAATCCACATAAACATTCAGGAAAGCACACGTCATCAACATGAAACGCTTACAACGCTTGCTGCGTTTAGGTTCCAAAACTGTGTACACGTTACCATGTTGTTCCCAGTTTTGGCTCTTCAACATCCTATGCTCTAACATTATCATTTGTTTTTTATCCAGTTCGAGACGGACAACGTCTTCTGGAACAATGGCAGAATCGAAATAATAATCAAGGTAACATCTTCAAAAGAAAGATAACCGCCTCCGTGGTGTAGTGGTTAGAGCGTCCGCCCGGAGAGCGGAAGGTCTCGGGTTCGATCCCCGACCACGTCATACCAAAATGCGTTACAATATGGTACTTATTGGTCCCTGACTGGCGCTCGGCAGGGTACAACAAGGACTGGTCGGCTCGGAGTCAGTATAATGTGTCTAAGTGGGGTATTCCTGCTTCACTGCGGCATGGTATCTCAGTGGGGTAGCACCATAAAAGCAGCTTAAGTCTGGGCTAGTACAAGCAGCCGCACATACAAATACACACGCATGCACGTCGTCATATGAGCGAAATATTCTCAAGCACGACGTTAAACCCAATTTCACCTCACCTCACCAAAGATATATACACACAAACCATGCTCATGCCATATGTCTATTGTGTTTTAAAACTTGCGAAACGGTTTTACAGAAGTAACTATACAAGAATTGATTTTGTTAAAATGTATTAATTGTATTTAAAGATAGAATACTTACATATTAACGTAAATCATGTTGTTCGATTATTTTATATCAATATTTATACAATTATTGAGTTTTCCGTGGGTCTATAGGTTAAAATGCTTTTTTAAAAAATCCTGGATGCACAATGTGTTTTAATTTACCTTCTGATAACAAAAACATTGTAAGAGGGAACATACTTTGTAATCAGGAAGAAGTAAATAAAATGTGGAAATGACCCAAAAGAGGAAAACATTCAGCATATAAGTAAGGTTTAACAACAAAATCAGGTAAGAAACTTTTACTATCAATTTCAGGAAAGAAGGTTATACTACTGAATACTGAAGATCACCAGTACCACACGAAAGTCGTTTCGGAGTTCGCACTGTTCCTGCACAACTCTTGTGGATGCAGTGTATCCTACCTACCTTGGGAGAAGGGGAAATTGCAAGAGGAAAATGCTGAAGCATGGGTACTTGAGCATATGGATGAATCAGACTTCATCATTGTTATCAATTCAAGAATCGCATTTGAGACATATGAAGCAAGGAGCCGAGATACTACTGAACAGAGTGTATTCAACACAGCCATATCTCACATGCATGCCAAAAAGACGGATGGTGCATATTTTCAGCGCTTTCTGTTTATCCATTTTTCTTATACAGAAGAGCAGTTCTTCATCAAGGATATTAATCCTGCAGTGGAGTATCAAATGCCGGAACAATTGCCTCCGCTATTAGATCATATCCATGGGATGCAGTCTGGAGAAGATGCTGAAAAGAATGCCCACGCTTCTCTGAAAAATATATCTGATTTCAATAAACTTCAAGAGCTAATTACAAAGTCAAAGAAATATGAAAAAGCTAACCCGCAATGGTTCGTTTCAGAACAGATCCAAGAAGCGGGAGGTGCAGACCTTGGTGACAATTTTTGTTCTGTGTCACAGGCTAGCGGAAATGCTCTACCAAGATTCAACACACTTGACCCTCATCAAACCGAATGTTTGAGAGTAGTTCAAAATGATCAATCTCGCTATGGTCAACGTTATCTTGCACACGAATCAAAGTTAAAAATAGAGAACGAAGGTCAAAATCTGGATATCATACGTGACAGTTCTACATCGGAAGAACCCGGTAAAACTCGTGACTGTTCTGCCTTGCATGCGGACGAGGTAAGAGGCATTCTGCCCCCAAGTGATGTAACTAGCGACAATGCTACAAGTCAACTGGAGAAAAGACTTGCTGTTCTCACCAATCGTAGTTTTGAGCATATGGACCCGACTGTGGTCTCATCTACTTCTCCTGAGTTTGGTGCTAAGCTTTCGTGGAAAGATGGAGGCAGCATGTTGCCTCCAAGTGATGTAACTAGCGACATTTCTACAAGCCACCTGGAGGATAGGTTTGCTGTTCTCACCTTGCGCAGCTTAGATCAAGTGGAACCAACTGTGGACACATCTAAACCTTCGAACTTAGGTGCTTATGTTTCAAGGGATGATGGGAGTAGCATTGTGCCTCCAAGTGATGTAGCTAGCGACACAGCCACAAGCCGTCTGGAGAAAAGGCTTGCCATGCACACCTTGCATAGCTTAGAACTTATGGACCCGGCTCGAGACTCATCTACTTCTCCTCAATTTGGTGCTTATGTTTCAAGGGATGATGGGAGTAGCATTGTGCCTCCAAGTGATGTAGCTAGCGACACAGCCACAAGCCAGCTGGAGAAAAGGCTTGCCATGCACACCTTGCATAGCTTAGAACTTATGGACCCGGCTCGAGACTCATCTACTTCTCCTCAATTTGGTGCTAATGTTTCAAGGGATGATGGGAGTAGCATTGTACCTCCAAGTGATGTAGCTAGCGACACGACACAAGCCACAAGCCAGCATAGCTTAGAACTTATGGAGAGACTCATCTACTTCTCCTCAATTTGGTGCTAATGTTTCAAGGGATGATGGGAGTAGCATTGCAAGTGATGTAGCTAGCGACACAGCCACAAGCCAGAAGGGCTTGCCATGCACACCTTGCATAGCTTAGAACTTATGGACCCGGCTCGAGACTCATCTACTTCTCCTCAATTTGGTGCTAATGTTTCAAGGGATGATGGGAGTAGCATTGTGCCTCCAAGTGATGTAGCTAGCGACACAGCCACAAGCCAGCTGGAGAAAAGGCTTGCCATGCACACCTTGCATAGCTTAGAACTTATGGACCCGGCTCGAGACTCATCTACTTCTCCTCAATTTGGTGCTAATGTTTCAAGGGATGATGGGAGTAGCATTGTGCCTCCAAGTGATGTAGGTAGCGACACAGCCACAAGCCGTCTGGAGAAAAGGCTTGCCATGCACACCTTGCATAGCTTAGAACTTATGGACCCGGCTCGAGACTCATCTACTTCTCCTCAATTTGGTGCTAATGTTTCAAGGGATGATGGGAGTAGCATTGTGCCTCCAAGTGATGTAGCTAGCGACACAGCCACAAGCCAGCTGGAGAGGCTTGCCATGCACACCTTGCATAGCTTAGAACTTATGGACCCGGCTCGAGACTCATCTACTTCTCCTCAATTTGGTGCTAATGTTTCAAGGGATGATGGGAGTAGCATTGTGCCTCCAAGTGATGTAGCTAGCGACACAGCCACATGCCAGCTGGAGAGAGGGCTTGCCATGCACACCTTGCATAGCTTAGAACTTATGGACCCGGCTCTAGACTTATCTACTTCTCCTCAATTTGGTGCTAATGTTTCAAGGGATGATGGGAGTAGCATTTTCCCACCAAGTGATGTAGCTAGCGACACAGCAACAAGCCAGCTGGAGAACGGGCTTGCCATACACACCTTGCATAGCTTACAGTATATGACCCCTACATTGGACGGACATATGTCTGCTGAATTTGGTGCTAGGGCTTCCAGGGATGATGGCAGCAGCATTCTTCCTCCAAGTGATGTAGCTAGTGACACAGCCACAAGCAATCTCGAGACTGGACTTGCTCATATAACAATGGATAGCTTTGAATACTTTGACTGTCAGGGGATAATATTCCCATGATCCTCGTATATCACATGGGGGTCGTAGAATCAATCTGCCTCCAAGTAGTGTAGGAAGCAACAGGGCAATGTGCGAGTTAGATGAAAGTCTTGGTCTCAGCTGTCACAACTATGAATACACAAGTCCAGCTTATAACGCAGATCTGCTCGGTGAATGTTCCTTAGGTATTTCATGTGAGGACAGAGGTTATTGCCCAGCCCCTGATGAGTGTTTTTACACAGGCATTAACAGTACCGGACGCACGCAACACAAGTGTGGTAAAGTAAACGAGAATGTACAAGTTACAAGTCTGTAACCCAATATTGATAAAGAAACTCACATGTTAAATAGACAAAGGACATTGGTGTTTAGCAGTCTTGTGTTCATCCTTCTATGTCATTTCCGGAAGACCCGTGAAGATCCAGGTTGGAATTGATCTTCAGTAACCCATGCTAGTCGTAAGAGGTGACTGACTGGATCGGCTGTTCAGGCTCCGTGACTTGGTTGACTCATGTCACCGTATCCCAAGTGCGTAGATTGATGCTCATGCTATTGATCACTGGATTGTCTCGTCCAGACTCTATATCATTTACAGACCGTCGTCATATAGCTTAATATTTCTAAGTACGGCGTAAAACTAAACTCACTCACTCATTTGGATTCCCCTCATATTTTAAAGTGTTCCCCTCCCTGAGCATGATTTATAGAGTGAGTGAGTGAGTGAGTGAGTTTAGGTTACGCCGCACTCAGCAATATTCTTCATCATTTATGGCACACGTCCTCTGTCAATGAATTTATTTCCAGGATTTTGACTGAGGAAATTATGTAATCATTAAAGTATATCAATAATAAACTTACACTGATATGTCCAAAACATGATAATTACCCGTGACAGTTACAAAATCCACCCAAAACACTGGACGAGAGAGATTATAGCGTCCTTATGCCTCTGACGGTTATTTCTGTGGATTGTCACCCAAAATGTCCGCACAAGTTTTTGCAAATCTTTAGGGCAAATGGTAATATGTCAAAGAGTGAGTGAGTGAGTTTAGTTTTACGCCGCACTCAGCAATATTCCAGCTATATGGCGGCGGTCTGTAAATAATCGAGTCCGGACCAGACAATCCAGTGATCAACAGTATGAACATCGATCTACGCAATTGGGATACGCTGACATGTGTCAACCTAGTCAGCGAGCCTGACCACCCGATCCCGTTAGTCGCCTCGTACGATCGACAAGCATGGGTTACTGAAGATCAATTGTAACTCGGACCTTCACGGGTCATGATTTATAGAACGTCCAACATACAACACGGTAAACAACAAACTACGTGTCCGGACAAACCAAGGACCCAAGAGGCTATATTTAGTAGAAGCTACGCCACAACTTCAGCATTGTTGTAGGGTTTGAATGAAGATGGATATTTCGAACATATAGCTTTGCACTCATATGAATTGTAGATATTAAAGTTGTCAAATAGTGCATGTCTTGCCAAACGGAAACACCATGATGTTCTTCAATACTAGAATTTAGTTCACTGTGTATGCTTCTAAAGAACACAATGGTTTTTTGTAAAGTATACATCGCCATTTTTGGCTTTCAATTCAGTTTTAAGTTGAATACTGTATTTCTCCTCCCGATTGCGGTTTTACCACAGGAGGCTCTGCACACATTTTAATGTTTTAACTCACTCATATGAATACTCGTTTTTTCCTGGGCACGATGCAATGCATGGTGCTGATCATATTCATGTGTTGTATATACACGTTTGCAATAAGGCTTTTCCATGATTATTGTTTACAGTCACTAAAGTTATCCCGACATACAAAACTTTTGTTTGTCTTTTTATTTTCTCACCAACGCCGTGTATTAACCTAACGTGAACAATATTGTTTAAAACATCACCACATTTGCAAGACTGCAATTATGAAAGACAACGTCATCAAAGATTCATACTTTTCTTGACTCTATCTCATTTAAGTTATAATTACGTTTAACGCTAAATAGATCACACAGACCACACCTTAAAGGGTATGTCCTTCGTATTAAGAAACGATTATTATTTTTGAATAAAGAAAAACAACAACCCATCAATACATACAGGTCAAGAAGTACTTTCATCTTTCCGCTTGCGTGCATGGCATCGCTATGCGCACGCAAGCGGAATATTGACTTCCGCTGTAGGCAGTAAACAACAGTAACATGGCAAGACAGTAGGGACCCTGTCAACAATGGCGCCGGATTCCAAGCATAGGAAGGGTAAGTTGGTAGTATTGATTTTTCTTCATAGGGAATATTTAATTTGAAAAACGACAAAGAAATGTTTATAAATTACTGGTAATTGTTATGTTGTGCAGGTGCTATGAACGAGACTTGACATACACGTGTGGGATGCCATGACATTGCTGTGTAATCTACACAGGTTGTGTTTATATGGGAAGGGCATATAATACGTAAACTCAAGTCGATGGGGATAGGTTGTTCACTGTATAGTGTCACCATCAAAAGCTCCATCTATAATAGCAGCAGTGGAATCAGACATGAAATCGAACTTTTATCATTACGATTCAGAACTTCTTTATCCGATTATAGCTTCCATTCACCATAATATAAACTACAAATGGATTGAAACATCGGATTCGATTCAATTTCAAGAAAATCAAATAAACAAATATCTGATCATTTTGAACTATCTTGTGAAATATTGGACACGATACAATTTTGTATACCATTATTAGGAATGATAATGTGAAGTACCTCTTTAAACACAATATCTTTATTGAGTACTAATCACAGGTATATGAGTGGTTGTCCTAAATCAATGATAACATATTCGACGGAAGAAGCGCGTATCGATTTCATTTAGACCTTTGGTCATGAAGACGATATAGTGATCAAAAGCAAAGGCCAATCCCAGCGTTAAAATCGATCTCATTCCCCACAGATCTACATTTTCCTTCTATCCTGTAGACTGTACCGACACAATTAGCAGACAATAGCATGGCCACAACTATTAAATATTTAAAGGTAAAATCGCCAACTGTATCCGTATCGATTGAAGACATTATTTTCACGCAATCGGCCAGCTTTTGGCTGCCTTGATGACTTTTGACACACAAATCGTGATAATTAACCACACTCTCACATCTAAATAGGCTGGGGTAATGGGTTTTATCTGATCAATCAATATATTGTGATTTACTATCTATATATAAGTTATTGAACACCTATAGATGGATGATAAGACCGGATACAATCATCTAAAGTAACTGAACAAAATATCTTTGAAAATTATATCTATTTTTTTTTTCTTAATTCTTATAATTTACCTCAAATATGCTAATTATATAAGATCAAGAGATTTACGAACACCAAGAAGGCTGAACCTTGCAGCAATATCAGAAGCCATATGTATTTGAAGGACTTTTGCTTTGATATATGTATTGTAACAATAAAACCATATCATTGTGATTTGGGAGAAATCGTAGTCATATATTTAAAGGGGAATAGAAATAACAGCCGCATATTGTAAGGCGGATTACCTTGACAACTACTAGTGCTCACGTATTACTTAATAAGTACTTGAGTAATCAACACAGCTGGTTAGTGCATTAGTTTCCATGGCAACATATTTACCCAGATCCTATAAACCATTGTTTAAGTATCGATAATAATGTCGAGAGTAGTTTACCGTCTGCTCTATTGATTACTTCAATCAGTGATCTCGTATGCTTCAAATGTCAATAATACTTATGTACATGAATGAAATCAACATGAGTAGCATACACTGTATGTATCGATAAACCTTCTGAGAAATGTAACTCAAAGAGGTCAGTGCTGGCTGGGAATAATTCCCATTGCCATGGTTACATATGGTCACAACAATGGGGTTACCTTTGTGTGTGTCTTTAAGCAGATA